CAAATCTAAATGACCCAATGACAATGTCCTTTTGGAAATAAGTGACCTTAGGTTGGATTAAACAACAGACAAATGTGTACCTTTCGAAAGGTAAAGATTGGTATATAAAATATCTGGGATATGTATTTTCCAGGAAAACTTCGGGAGAGAGATGTTAGTGGAAAACGTTTGGGAGAAGAAGCAAATTGGCTTCCATTCATTGCCATGTAACAGCAAAACTACGATTATGCCAACATTATTATTCTGTCATATACATTGCTCAACTGTTTGTTGCAGGAAAGCATGACACACAACAAGATTGAGTCTATGGAAATTACACATTTTTTGATATTAATGATATATAAGTTACAAGCTTTATTTTAAACAATGTTAATGTTCAGATACAGTAGGTAGGAATGCTTGCTGGTCGATACACAAAAGGTTTTATGGTGTGGAAATACCCCGAGGGACGATTATAGGTGAACTTGACTCCCGTGCTGCCCTCCCCAAGATGACTGCAGTGCTCATGGAAACTGCTGATAGGTCGCGCCAAGCATGCATCCCAGCGGTCACTTTCAGGCATTGTTTCTGCCACAGTGTATATTCCCTTAGAGTTTGTGAAAGCTTGGTAGTTTACAACTTCCCCAGATTTTGTAATGCAGAGAACAGCAACTTCAGCACCTGCATCAAGAGCGGTCAAGCAAAAAAGAGCAGCGCTTTGTGCTTCATAAATTTCTTGAATTCATTGGACGTTTAAGTCAACATTTTGTCTGTATCACAGCATCAGACCTAAATGGCCCATAGATTCAAGACATCACGAAGTTTAACTACACAAATCCACCTATTTGAAAAGGCGGTCAAATGTGTTCCCCAGGCCACAAACAACTTTGAAATTCATTTGTTTCTGTAAATTCACTAGATACTATTTTCTATTTTTTTTTTTAAATCTCAATAATTCAGCAACTCCAATGAACTCTCTGAAAATGAAAATGGAGACTACACACTTGATTACAGGTAAACAATAAATGAAAATAAAAGAAAAGAAAAAGAAGAGAATTGAGAACCTTAATTTGAACAATAAAAATCCACATGTAGACCTCTCAGTAACAACCAATCACAGCAATATCTCTCTAACACCTACTGTACTTACCAAATTGAATGGGTTTCAAACCAAAGAAAGAAACCATGCATACAAGGCTAACATGGCATCCCTTGCAGTGCCAGTCATATATAAAACAAACCAAATCCAAAGCAGTGATGAGACATCACAGGAAAGAACCTATAACCTCATTTAACTGTGATTGCTAATGAATCTAAGCATGTGTAACAAGAGCCAGTTCCAACATCTTCTGGAAATTGGACAGTCATACAGGATCATACATGTTCTAGAGACCTCTACATGGATCAAACAAAAACAAAACAGCATTTCCCATTCAACCATTGTACATCCTTCTAATGCTATATTATTAGCTATTCCTATCAAAAGTTAGATAAAGTAGAGTAGCAAACATGAAACTTAAAAGCAATTCTTGACATGGCGAAGTGTAAATAAAACCATTCCTAGAAAAAGAGCATTATGATGCATAACTTATCTGTTGGACCAAATTTCCTACAAGTAAGAACTCACTGAGGACGTCGTCATTCAAAAACCCACGATATCTTATATGTACAATGAGGGAGCTTTCCACCCCATTCTAATTCCTTCTGAATATATATATATATATATATATATATATATATATATATTCCCTTCCTTTCATCAGATATTCCAAACATCATGTAAATAAATCGCTTTGGTGTAACAATAACCAAGGGGAAGTCTTTCTAGAGCCAGATAGATTGAATAAGGGACAACGAGTTGCAAGCTTATTAGAGCTGGGTGGTTTGTAGAAAAACATTGCTTTAGAAGAGAGAACAACTATTGCTTGGAAATTCACCAACCTTGACCATGCAAGTATGCAAGGAATCCAGAGAATTGAAATGTTATAAAACTAAAAAAAAAGATGCAAAATAATCACAAGCATCAAAATCAGAACAGATCTTTACATTCTTTTTTCCAATCTAATTTCAAGGTGAATCAACTCAATAAAATGATAGCGATAAGCTCAAGATCACCAGGCAAAATCCTATTTAATTAAATCTAACTGCACTCACTAAATGCCTAGCACCAAATTATTAACAACCACTGAACATTTACCAACCTATGCTGAAATTAAACAACAGAAGTCCTACACACAAATTCAACAGAAAATCAATCGAAGAGCAGAAAATCACCAAATGACCACAAGGATTCAGCTTTTAATACTGCCCGACACAGCAACATAACCACCAACCCATGAAAAAACATCAAGTGGAATAACCAAAACCCACCAGAAATTTCAACCAGCAGAAGGGGTATACATACAAAAATGAATATACAGAGAGATATAAGAAAAGGAGGAAAAACCTTCCAAAATATGATCTTCAGGTCCGATGGAAGAATCCCCGCACGCATCACAGACAACCCTGCCACGAATCTCACCAGTCCAAGCATGGACGCAAGATACCAACACAGTGAAGAAGAAGAACACTAGAACAAGCTTCTTGCTCTGTAATTCCATGGTGGGTTTTCTCAGCATCAAAATCCTCGCCGGGAGGAAAACTTTATTCCATTGTTTTCTCTCCAGTTATTGGGCCAAGTTCCCGCGCCGACAGGGCCAAACCCAGCCCACCCATTTTCCCACAGCTAAATGTAATTTCATTGTATCTCAGTGGGTAAAACGGGAAAAAAATCCCTCCTTTCTCTCCCTTTTCCTCTTTATATGCAATCCAATCGAAACCCTAAACCCTAGTCTCAAATCCGCCGAAGTTCTCCAATTTAGAATTTTTCCTCGTCTGAAGTCTAGACCCTTTTCATATTTTCTTTTCTAGAGTTTCTTTGTATTCAAAGTTTTTATTTTTACCTTATAATTGGAGCTGAATTTGATCCCTGTGATGTTGGGTTATGAATGTTAAAAGTAGCCTGATCTATTGATGATAAACTCGTTTCTGAGGGATACTCTGCCTTCCCTTCCTGTGGAAAAATGTGAAATTGAGTAGAAAAGGTTAAATATTCATGCTTGTTAGTTGTTAGCTGAATATGTTTTCAGGTTTTGCTGGAATGGATGTTTCTGGGTTTCATTAAAGAGATTTCAACTTGCATCCCTGTGAAGAAGTAAATTAAAAGTAGTGGACTGAACTCAGTTGATGATAATTGTGTCTGAGGGATGCAGCTTGCATTACTGGTTTCTGTTTCCATGGTTTTATGGAATTGTTGAGTTTGCAATGTTTTTGATTGAGTGGTTCTCCACTTCTTCTCTTCTCTTTTCATAAGTCTCTGAAACTGAGATCTTATAACCATTCTAGTTAAGGTATTGAGTTTGAGTGTGGTTTCTCGGTGCCTTCTTTGATTTTTATTTTCCCTACCTTGATTCAAATGTCAGCCTTGCTGCCTTGCATCTGATACATTCACTTTCGTTTGCATCCCTATGATGATGGATATATTCATGTTAAAAGTAGTGTCTGACTTATTGAAGATAAATACACTTCTGAGGGATGCACACCCTTTTTGTGATTTTTATTTTCCTTGATTGAATTTGTTGACATTGGGAGAAGTTCAGTTTTTAGCATCTCCTTTTGTTGCAATGTAACGTTGCATACGTGTAGTGGTGGAAGTTCTTGGGCTGTTTCTTTTGAATTATTCTATCTTGAGGAATTTGCATTTTTTTTTTAATGCTTCCTTTGCTAGATGGAGGAAAAATGGATCCGAGGGATGCAACTTGCATTACTAGATTCTGTTTTCATGGTTTTATGTTATTGTTGAGTTCTTAATATATTTCTTAGGAAAATAACCAGCATTTCCCCAAATTTTAATATTTTTGATCGAGTGGTTCTTTTTCATTTAAACTCGGTAAAAGTGAGGTCTTTTAACTTTGTAAGTTGAGGTATTGGTTTTAATTGTGGCTTTTGGTTTTATCAAACCTTCTTTTTTACTACTTTGATTTGTATTTTTGCTCACCTCACATGTTGGCCTTGCATCTGATCCATAAATATTTTGCTTTTAGTCTCTCGTTTTTATTGGAATTATATTTTGCATCCCTATGATGATGGATATATTCATGTTAAAAGTAGTGTCTGACTTATTGAAGACAAATATGCATCTGAGGGATGCACCAGCGCACTCTGTTTGGGATCTTCATTTTCCTTGATTAAATTTGTCTACATTGGGAGAATCTTATCTGTGTCTTTTATCAATGATTTACGCTGTTGGATTTAAGATTATGGGTTCTCTTGTAGCTTGCAAAATTTTTCTTCTAAAGCTTTTCTTTGACTAACCTTAACACACAAGCTTGTAGGAGGCGTGATCAACTTGTTTAATTATAATCAAAACCAAGCTAACTCAGGTGGGTGATACCAAATTACAGATCCTTTTGGTCAGATTTTGCTGCTTTAAGCTAAGCACCAGTCTTTCCGGCTTACCCGAGTTCAGGGTTTGGACTCTGCATTAGAACTCTTACAGCTATTTCCATCTCTTTCCTTTCCATTGAAATCAACAGTCCTATGATCACGACTGGAGTTGTTGTTCCCTACTGGATTCTCTGCAAGACTCCCCAATTAAACCTTGAATACAAGTGGAAAATTTTATTTCAAATTCAATTCTTGAAAATTTTAAGCTATTAAAAAAGAATGATTTTTTTTGAACTTAATGGGACTACCTAATTTATAACTTATGTTATATTTGCATAGAAATAAAAAATTGACAATAATTTTTAAAACGAGTCCATATATACAATAATATATATGAATTTTAGGTAACTTGATGTCTTCCGTCTCAATTATTATTATTATTATTATTAACAATTTTATAGAAGTTCGGATTTAAATCATTATTCAAGAAGGAAAGATGCACTTATATGACTTAATGTTACTAAATCCGAAAGTCAAAGTGCTCTGTCAATTATTATTTAATCTTAAGCAAGTCCTGTACTTTTTATTAATGTTTATTGGTAAATCGGGTTTGTAATGTGGGCCAACGGTGTTGATGAGCATGTGGCTTCGCCCTGTACTGCATTCAATTAAAAGCAACCGTACCAATTATTAGGGCTTAAGGGGGTATTTTCCCAACTTGGAAGGACGAACAGTGCAGAATCTTCAATTACATTTCATTTCCTCATTGTATTTTCCATCTTTGATTTTATATCTCTGTTGTTCACAACACTCACTGAGTTCTCTCTCATTGTGCTTTCCATTCTGTGTCCACTCATAATGGCTGATATCGCCCTCACCTTCGTTACCCCTCTCATAGAGCTGGCACTTTCCAAGGCGGCTTCTTTTGCTGCTGAACAGATCACTCTTGCATGGGGTTTGGAGAAGGAGCTGGAGGAGCTTGCTGATTCTCTAACTCTGATTCAAGGGGGTGCTCGAAGACGCGGAGAGGAGACAAGAAAGCAGTCCGGCCATAGGCCTCTTTTTACGGTAGCTTGAAGATATAGCTTATGATACCATCAATGTACTGGATGAATATGCATATAAGGTCATTCAGCTCAAAGTTGAGACTCCTGGCCGAATAAGTAAAAAGGTCCGCACCTTCCTTTCTCCCTCTCGTTTCATTATGGCTAATGAAATTAGAAAAATAAAAGGGTCACTGTGTGAAAGTAAAGATCTAATATGAGTGGAAATAAACATAAATTCAAGATTTAACTTGAATTGACATGATCATAAACATTGAAATTGAAAGAACATAAACTGAGTTTTATCTTGTATATACCAGCAAACATTGACATAAAACATGGAGTGTACATACTGTTTTTTCAATAAAAAACAGCAACTCAAGCATGACAGTTACTAAAACATAAGTTAAAAAACCGTAAAATAAACTACTACACCATGACTCGTGAATTACAAACTAACATAAAGAAAACTACTACATAACATAACTGTCATAATAAAATTAAAAGACTTGGTCTCAGTTGCTTCAACACACTGGTTAAAATGAAAGGGGATGCAGTTTTCGTCCAGGTGATCAGATCCTGGTCCCCAAACTTAAGATCCTTCCATTCAGAAATATCGGTCTAGGACAGACCGCTTTCTTCCCGTTAATTTAAAAGTTTTTGGAAGGAAACATGGTGTCTTAGACATTGTTAGGTTGTTGCAAGACCTAAGGGATAAACATCCCCTGTCTGGCATTTCGGTAGTGGGTATGCCAGGTGTTGGAAAAACAACATTAGCAAAATCAATATACAAGACGGTATATGAAGCAAAGCTCTATGATTTAGCATCTTGGGTATGTGTATCAGAGGACTTTAATGTACAGAAGCTGTTGGTTGAGATATTAGAACATTTTAATTATCCTAATGCTGGTGCAATTAACAATATGAATATACTGCTTCAATATCTTGTAAAAGAAATAGAAAACAAAACTTTTCTTCTCATTCTTGATGATGTGTGGAACGAAGATCAGCACAAGTGGGAAGATTTCATCGATTGTTTGTTGAAAATTCCCGGACTTGAATCAGATAAGAAAGGGGAAAAAGAATCGGAGGATGTGCAAGGGAAAGGGCTCAAATCAGAATCAGATGACGAAGGAAAAGTGATAAAAGGCACCACCTCGATCACTAAAATTTCCATCGTCATAACTACTCGTGTTCAAAATGCAGCATCCATGATAGAGGGGACACTTCAAGGTGATATGCATAGGCATTTTGTGGAGGAGCTTTCAACAGATGTTTGTTGGTGTATAATTAAGGAGAAGGTCCTTCGATCATCCGGCCAAAAGTCCTTACCCCCGAAGTTGGAATATATTGCTCAAGATATAGCAAAAAAATGTGGAGGCTTGCCATTGGTTGAAACTGTTATAGGAGTAACATTGGGCCGTCATATTGAGGAAGATAAGTGGTTGGCTATTAGAAATAGTAATGCATGGGATATAGAAGATGCAAGTCAAATTTTATCTGTATTGAAAATAAGCTATGATCATTTGGGTGTAGCTTTAAAAAAATGCTTTTCTTATTGTTCAATTTTTCCAAAAGATTTTGCAATGGAAAAAGATGATTTAGTTCAGCTCTGGATGGCTCAAGGGTTTCTTTACCAATCTAATGAAAGCAATAAGACAATGGAAGAGATTGGCAACCAGCACTTTGATGAGTTGTTATCCAATTCCTTATTTCAAGATGTGGAAAGGGATCATTTTGGAAACATCTTATCTTGCAAGATGCATGATATAGTGCATGATCTTGGCTTGTTTGTATCAAAAGATGAAACATTGATTTGGGAGAATGGTTCCAGTGTTGATGAGAATTCTAAAATCCGCCATTTGAGGGTTAAATATGATAGAAATGTGCTTCCAACCATTCCAAGAGGTGTTGCTCAAAGGTTGCATTCTTTGTTCTTGGATGTTGATGATGTTGATGTTTTCAATGACATGGCATTGAAATTTAAAAGGTTGAGATGTTTGAAATTAGTGGGAGCAAACACAAAAGAGTTGCCGGCTTCTCTTGGCAAATTGAAGCATTTGAAATACCTTAGTATCTCAAAAAATGGAATCAGAGTGCTGCCAAAATCCTTCTCCAAGCTGTACAATTTACAAACATTAAGGCTTCAGAGCTGCCATTATGTTGAGAAGCTTCTGATGGCATTAGAAACTTGGTAAGCTTGAGGCATCTTTGTGTTAGTTATAGGGAGCATTTGTAGACCAGATTCCCTCCATTTTACTTAGAGGGATTGGGCGGTTAACCTCCCTTCAAAAGTTACCGTTTACATTGTTTGATTTGGGAGGTGAAAAGGGATGCCAGATTGAAGAACTTGGATACTTAAAAGAACTTGGAGGAGATCTGTATGTCTGGAACCTTGAAAGAGTCAAATCCAAATCACAAGCTACCAATGCAAAATTAAACGAAAAGCCAAAATTAAATCGGTTGCTCTTGTTATGGGATGGATGTAGTAGAAAAGGTAGCAACTGCAATGATGAGGAGGTTTTAGATGGTCTCCAACCTGACTCAAATTTGAAATACTTGAGTATTTTCGGTTATCTTGGAGAGAAATTCCCCTTATGGATGACAGGTGGTGTCAAAGGTGGTGCTTCATTCCAGCTTGAGAACCTAGTGGAGTTGACATTATTCAATTGCAATGGATGCACATGTTTTCCAAGTGTTGGACTATTGCCCAGTCTTGAGGTTCTTTGCATTAAAGGAATGGCCAAGGTAAAAAGCATGGGTCACAGGTTTAATCTCAACAGAAGTAGTGATGACGTTGGGAAAAAAATCAATGGCATTGTACCCAAGGCTGAGAAAATTTACCTTAAGCCTCATGTATGACTTAGAAGAATGGGTTGAAGTCATTGAGGGGGAAGAAGCAGCAACAGGAGGGGAAAGCATCAGGGTGTTTCCTTGCCTTGAGGAGTTGCTTATTGAGGATTGTCCTGAGTTGAAGACTTGTGTGATGGGTGGATTTTCTTCTCATCATAAGCTCTGTTCCCTGACAATACATAATTGTCCAAATCTGATAGCTATTCCAAACATGGACGGGTTAACATCTCTTAAGATTTCTCTAGGGGGATGTGATGGGCCAAGATCATCTCCACCTACACCACCATCTCCATCTCCACCACTGCCCAATTTTAGGCTGAGCCCCACCTCAACATTGCAAGGAAATTCCAAAGCTTCAAGGAATTAGACCTTATCTCTTTCCTTTTTCCAGGTCAATGTTTGACACAATTGTTCTTTTGGATGTTCAATATGATTGTGTTTGTAATTGATTAGTCTGTTGAAGTTTAAGCAAAACAGATATCTCTTCTTTGCATTTAAACAATAATCTAATTTTCTATTCCAGAGTAGGATGAATTATGTCTGTTTCATGGCTACTAAAATTTGCCTTTCTGATAAAGGATCACGTTGCCAATCTTTAAGTGTGCCTTTTTAAGGTCTTGGGTTCTCATATTCCTTCCTATGTTTCTTTCCACCAAAATTTTTTTTTTTTTGATAGATCTTTCCACCAAATTTTTTGTTCATTTTTAATTTTTTTTCCAAATGACATAGCTCTTTTATTTTTTTTTTTTGACTATTTATGTTGATTTTGATAAGCAGGTCCTCTGCTCATTGAAGGGAGAATTGAGATTCATAATGCTGCCTATGGCACAACACTATGAAGTCTGCAATATTTGTAATGTTGTTTGAGCATCAAACCTGTTCGAGCAGTGGCTTCAAAGTTGCGATGTTGCTACCACAAAATAGCAAAATGATGCAGCAATAAAGCTGCTGCCTGCTTCAATGGAGGAAAAAAAGATGCAGCCAACTGCTACATTATGGAAGGAAATGAAATGCAAGTGCAAAATGGACTGCAAATGGAGGCTGCAAATTTGTTAACAAAAGTGCAGCAATGTGATAGTGTTTCAATGTACTTTTTTATGTTAGTTTATGCATTGCAATCTTGATTTAAATGTTAGATAGATTTTGTAGGCAACATGTAACCATAAATCATGGAAATTAGATGAAAAATATTGTTTTTATGTTGAATTTTCTACTATAAATGGGCAGACATGTTAATGAAAATATGAGAGTTGGAGAACAATTTCTCCTTTACTCTTGGGTTGGTTGAATGTTTGCACCCTTCCTTGGCTATGTCAAATTCATGTTCTAAGTTCTAAACATTTTCTTGTTTTGGTTGAATGTCTGCACCTTTACAAAAAAGCTTTGTCAATCTTGTTTTGGGATCTCAACATTTTCTTCAATTGTCAGTTGATCTTCATTGTAAGTATCCAAAGAATGTGTTTCCAGATAAGTTTCCAATTACCTGTTCTATACGTAACACTTGCAGATTATCCATTTTAACTGAAAGAAACATAAAGTGAACACTTGCAAGGATGAAGGGCAAGAATGGGATGATAACATGAGTGGGGCATCGTGAATAGGCAAGCAACAGGTGAAGCCTTTTGTTAATTTGCGTGAAAAGTCATCTTCACCTATTCAAAAGTGGACTGTTAAAAGGGCAAAAATGATAGAAAAAGGTTGAAAGCTGGGCCCAAAATGCGCGAACAGTTTAGCCATAGTTTTGGACCTTTGGAAAGGTACGGAAAATGACATAAATAAAACCCAATTAGTGGACACTGTTTAAGGGCTCTTTTGGGAGTTAACAAGATTGGGCTTTTGTAATTTTTTTTTTTTGAACAAATTTGCAAGGGGCAGGATTCGAACCATTGCCCTCAGGGAGAGAGGAATGCACTTATATGTAGCATGACGCCACTGGGCAAGTGCGGGCTTTTGTAATTTTTGATTGATATGTGTGTGTGTGTGTCCTTGGGGAGAGGAGAATGCACTTATATGTAGCCTAACGTCATTGGGCCTGCCCAAGTGCGGGCTTTTGTAATTTTTGGTTGATATATATATGTGTGTGTGTGTGCCCTCCAGAAGAGGGAAATGCACTTATATATAGCTTGACGCCACTGGGCCGAAGGCCCAAGTGCAAGCTTTTGTAATTTTTGATTGATATATATATATATATATGTGTGTGTGTGTATGTTTGCCCTTGGGGAGAGGAGAATGCATTTATATGTAACCTGACGCTACGGACCGAAAGCCCAAGTGTGGGCTTTTGTAATTTTTGGTTGATATATATATATGTGTGTGTGTGTGCCCTCGGGGAGAGGGGAATGCACTTATATGTAGCCTGACGCCACTGGACCGAAGGCCCAAGTGTGGGCTTTTGTAATTTTTGGTTGATATGTATGTGTGTGTGTGTGTGTGTGTGTGTGTTTGCCCTCAAGGAGAGGGGAATGCACTTATATGTAACCTGGTGCCATTGGACCGAAGGCCCAAGTGCGGGCTTTTGTAATTTTTGGTTGATATATATATATGTGTGTGTGTGTGTGTGTGTTTGCCCTCGAGGAGAGGGGAATGCACTTATATGTAGCCTGACACCATTAGACCGAAGGCCCAAGTGCGGGCTTTTGTAATTTTTGGTTGATATATATATGTGTGTGTGTGTGTGTGTGTGTGTTTGCCCTCAGAGAGAGGGCAATGCACTTATATGTAGCCTGACGCCACTGGACCGAAAGCCCAAGTGCGAGCTTTTGTAATTTTTGGTTGATATGTGTGTGTGTGTGTGTGTGTCCTCGGGAAGAAGAGAATGCACTTATATGTAGCCTGACGTCATTGGACCGAAAGCCCAAGTGCGGGCAAGCTTGCTTAGCATCCAAGTCAAGTTACTAGAAGGTTAGCTAATTGCAAATGTTTATTGAATCAAAGAGGAGTTGCTGCTGCTTCATTATCTGGACCAGGCCAAGTTGCTCCTTTTAAACCAGGTTCCTGCTACATGCAATAAGAAGAAGAAACACTTGAACTACTCCTAGTTGTAAAAAGCCTATTTGGGTGTAAATTGAAAAAGGGGGCCATTTTTATGTACCTCATGCTGGTGAATGCATTGCTCCTGTTAAAGATCAGGTAGTTAATTTCCACCACTTGCTTTCTTCAATTGCTTCAATAAAAAGCTTTTGTCTTCTGTCTACAATTGAGGCATAACTTAAAAATTCAACTAAATGCATGGACCTTTTCATCTTATTCTATGTTTTCAATTGCTTAACACCACTTGGAAACTATCCATTTATGTATTCTATATATTCTATGTTTTCAATTAGTCATACAAGAATGCCTGCAGTTCTATTATTGCCTTATATCCACTCCTAGATATTAACAAAGTTTGTGAATAACACTCCCACACAATGTCCTTACTATGTGGGGTTAGGATTGTGAAATGATGCCTCCAAGAAATGACTTAACTAGTTAAAAGTATAAGATTTTGACTTGTAGATCTTAAATTTGAACCTTGTGTCAAATGGAGAGAGATTTGAGAAAAGGAGAGGACTACCATCTCTTATACAATCCATCATCAAATGTACCAAAAAAGGACAGTGCAATGATCAATAATGAGAGTCACCTTAATAAACAGACAAACAAGCAATCAAACAATATTACACAAACACTTTACAAATGTATTAACCAAATTAACAGATTCCAAGTCATGCATACGACATTGCTGAATAATAACTACACCAACAATCCATCAATGTCAGCATTAACAGTAACCTTAATAATAGCGTACACATAGATGTTGCGTAGGGCATTAGGGGAGCACTAGAATACTACCATTTTGCATAGACAATCCACATCCAAGTCCAACCATATTGTAACATCCATCTTTTGATAAACAATGGTTTATCAAGTAAAGGAATGTCTTGTTCATAATATCAATTCAAATGTTCTATATTCATAGGTAGACTTGAAGATTGTGTCGTTTTAAGGTAAAAGTCAAAATGCTAGCGTAGGAAAGGAAGCTTGATGTATTAGGTGGTATATAATTTGTGTAGTTACTTGAGAGAAATCAGAGTGTGCAGATAAAAAAAATAAAAAAGGAGAAACAATAAATTTGTGAAAGTGTTCTTTATGCAATGCAAAAAGAAAAAGAACTAATTATGAGAACAAAAGAATTGTTTTACATATATATCCCAGGCTCAAAGTTTAGTATAAAATAGATTAAAAATTCACAGACCCAAGTAAAGTTTTGGGCAGATACATATTTGCCTTACTGACTACTTAGATGCATAGCTCACAGTTTGTGTCAGAAATCCACCAAAAGAACTTGGGATCAGTAGCTCCTCTTCACTAGTACCCTCTGAAATGGTGGAAGAAACACTATAAGCGTAAGCATAATTTCTAACTTTAAGTTAAACTAATGTTCCCTACTTAGCTCCTTATGCAGAAAATTCCAACAATAGTTTCTAACTTGTTCTGATCATATAGATTTAAGGTATTGTAGTCATAGAACATTCACACATACATAAGACAATAAATAAAAATAACACAAATTATGGACTCCACTAAATGTGCATGCACCCACATTAGGTGCTAAAACTAATCATGACACTTACCAACTAGGCTAGGCTCCAAAATCTCCATAGTTCTTAGGCAATTATAAGCAAAGCTTATTCAGCACAGAATCATGCATAACATGTTCATTTATTTAATGTAGTTTGTAGAATCACTAGAAATAGGCATAACATGCTCATTATTTAATTGAAATTATTTTATTATATAAAATAACTTATCAAGAACTACTATTGAAAAAAAAAACAATTACTCCCTTTATCCCAAAATAACTATCATTGTATAACTTTAAATTTGTTTTAAATCAATTGTCTTCTCTTTCATTATTAATTCATTTTAATTAATTATCCAATCACAAAAAATCTCTATTTATATTTTATTTCTTTTTTAAGAGTATTATAGATAAAAACAATTATTGTCCTCAAATCCTTTATTTGGGAAAAAGTAAAAAAATGATAGTTATTTTTAGGACAAAAGGAGCATTATTCATATGTACCATAAAAAAGGTATTATTTAAAAATACATATAAAAAAGTCAGAAACTTATATTTCCATTAATTGTTAAAAAAAAAATTAGACTTCAATTTTATTAATTAATAATCCAATTAAAATTGTACACATGCCATTAGTGTTAAAAATAAAATTAACTTTTATAATTTTTTATATAAATTAATAGAAAAATATGTAATTAATACTTTCTTAAACAAGTTAGACAAATTCAAAATAATTACTAGAAAATTTTATCCAAAAAAAAAAAAAAACAAGAAAAGAAGCCCGCTGCCTTCAAAATTAAAATGCCCAAACACTCGCCTAAATCAGGAGGGAACCAAAAACAAAAGAATTGATCAAGCAGGAAAATTAGAGGGTAGGGACCCAGAGAGTCATGGATGAATCATGATCTACTTTTTCAGGAACAATGAAGAACTGCATTTAGGGTTTGTGTGGTTCACAAGGAACCGAAAGTAAGTATTTTTTGAAAGTTATGAAGCCGTCCTTAGCTGTGGATTGCAACTGGAAAAAGTTGTTCCAGGAGTGTGGGGAATAATCCATTACAAGTGAGTATCAATGATTACCATTATACACCTAATCATGAGAAGCTCTTCAAACCAGGAGGGTGGTGGCTTTCATATGAGGTAGGTGTTTGTTAAGTTCTATTATATAATTTGGAAGCAACTGGTAAATTTTAGAGCTAAAAACAAGTAGAAACCATTAGATGATCTGATCCGGTTTGTGACATGCAAAAATAGAGTAAGGAATGAATGATGAACTGGAATGTAGAATCTGGTTTATCACTCTTACCTGCATGCATGTAAAGAAAGATTAAGAAGTTAGAAGATACATATCGAAATTGATTATCTAAGGTTATACATGAAATGTTAAAATCGACTAGTTTGAAATACTTATAATTTACAATATAAAGGCCTCTTGTTGCGACAAAAATAAACTCCATTCGAATTCCAAGTCTAAAACAAGAAGGCCCTTACAAGCACAACTTATCACCATTCATGCAATATTTAACTGTTCTTACCAGGAATTCATCTTCTGCTGAAAGCACAGTTTCCATTATCTCAGGTTCAGGAGTTACAGCAGGCTTGAGATCATCATCACTGATGGACCGAGTTACCTATGGCAAAAGGGAAATTTAATAAAATATTTTACAAGCCTAGAAACGTACTCTGAATGGGTATGAGCAATCCATTCATGGTTTATTGACATCAAATGCATATCCTCAAATCATTTTTTTGAAATGTAAAAATTTTTTTAATGCTATTGACCAAAGTAGAAGAAGAGAACAGCACATTAAGACTGAAACTATAAGCCATGTAATTAAATTGCTGTTGGACATTCCTAGCTTGTGCAGTATAGCAAAGCTATGGTAGATGCATGTAAGTGAAATCTGTTTTTGTGTTTGAAGTTTGATATCTGTAAAACCTAAATTATTGAATTTGAAACACACCTAAACTATACAGTTAGGGAGGTTTGTTTTTGTATTGCATATAAGCAAATCCTTGTTATTTCTATGTGAAGTTTGAAAATCTTGACTGATCAAAACTATGTTATAAACTGTTTGAACAGGTGGTTATTGAACGAAATATGATGAGGTTTTTTTTGAAAGTCTATGGACAATTGAAACCTATGCAATCAGCTGGGTGATGATTGAGCTCTAAATTATGAGCATCCTCTAACCATTTGGACCTTTGCACAATAGTAAAGCTATGGTTGGCCCTAGCTTAAAGTGAAGTGCACCACATATATATTTGATATTTGAAATCCATAGACAGATTGTGATCGTTAGTACTTAGTATGTCTCTTTGAGCATGTATTTTAAAGGTTGAGTAAGAAATATATTTTTGAAATGATTTGTCCATGGTTTAGTTTTGATTGAATTAGTTCTGCATTTATAGTAAAATATCATGCTATCTTGCCTATGTAATGTGCTAGAGCAGAGCCATGACAAATTTGCTCAAGAATATGCTTTTGTTAGAGTTGTTATGGATACAAAACCTATCTACATTGTTTATGAAAATCTGTTTGTTAAGTATTGAGTAAGTACTTTCAGTTATAGTGAGTTCTTAACACTCAACTATGAGCTATATAGCTCACACCCTACTATCCACTCATTTCAAGTAAACAAATAAAGGGAATGGCCGTTCTTCCTGTAGTGTGTATGTATATATATTCTACCTTTGTTATTACTGTGTTTTATTCAATTTCAACGGTCATCTTTAATGGTTTTTATTTTGTAGGATTGTAAATTTAAACTCTGTATTTTAAACTCATCAAAACCGGGGTGATTTTCTGATACAATTTCTGAATTAAAATACTTTTAGGGTGTGAAATCTGGGTTAAAAAAAGAGGTGCAGGAGCAATTTGGGGATTTTGCTGTAAATAAATGCAATTCAAAAGAAATGTAGGGAATGCAAGGAAATGCCAACAACAAACCTTTACCTTACTCTGCCTATATTTTTGGGGAGGTAATAGATCTTCATGCTGAGTCCTACCAACAGAAAAACAAAATGTCAGAAATCAAGATGTATGTTTAGTGTAATGTCACCTGAAATGAAAAAGAAAAAAATTAAAATTGGATGAGGTAAACAGGTAAAAACCTTTCTCTTTTTCTTTCTCCTCCTTTAGGGAAACCAATGTCCTCTGCTTGATCTCGAGATGGTTCACCAGAAATCAAGCTGCAAACAAGAGATGCAAAAATTTAAAGAGGATAAACGAGTAATGTCACCCTAAATTAAGAAAGTAAGTTGGAAGAGGAAAAATGAGTGGTAAAAACCTTCTTTCCATTTCTTCAGCAGAAGCATTATCTTCCCGTTGTTTTTGAAATGTATCACTAACAACAGAAAAAAATAAAAATAAAGTAAAAATGATAATAAGGGTTAGAAATCAGCTGCATAGTAGACACAAAAATTAAAAGAGGAAATCAAAAAGCACTAACAGCAGCTGGTAGAGTGGAGATTGGCCTTGCACTTCAACTCTGAATTGTTCAGGTCCACTAATGTTAACAGAAAAAAACAGTTAGAAATGGAGATGTATATGTTAAATGTAAATTAGAAAGGAGAATGGAAAAGGACTTACCATGGCAGGCAATCTAATAAATTAGTAATTTTTGTATGAAAACTTTTGTGTTCCTCAACCTGAACCTCCGGATTAGGATTGATGGAAAACTTAACTTTGAGATAGTGAAGGATTCGAAAAGGAGGCCACATATCTTCATTTTCATAAGAATCAGGACCAAGCCATAGAAAACAGAGCTTGTCATTAGCCACGGGAGCTATACGGACCACTCTATCCGACTCAACCACTGATCACAAGTCATCATCAAACTCCAGAATGGGCATTTTGTCCATCACGACCTTCCCTTGCTTCATATCGTAGATGTATAAGAAGGCAGGGGACTTATCTGGAACCTCCAAGATGTACAGTCTCCAGTTCGATGCTGCAAAGTAAGTCTCGCTAATAAATTTGGGAAGTGGGTCCTCAAAATGGCAACTCACCAATCGTTTATCTCTGAATTATAAAGAAAGAAGTTATTCTCCTCTCCATCCATAGCAATTAGAAGCCCTTTTCCTTCCAAAGGAGCACAAGCACGAATCCTACGCCACTGCCTCTCTCCAACTGCAACTTGTGGAGGGGGTATTCTGGTTTTAAAGCATTCATTGACTCTGGTGTCCCAGATGTAGCCTTCTCGGGTTTTAAGATTTGTATCCTCGTCCTGGACGTAATAACCACATTCCCACACCCCAGGAAGTATATACAAGTAATATTCATAAACGCCAATGACTGGTTCAGCACAAGGAGATGGTAACGTGGAACCGCCACTGCTTAGAACTACTTCGGGTGTCAAGCCAGCGGATGCTGTCGCTGAGCTCTAAATCGTTGGGCACTCGGCTGCCTATTATATACAATGAGGAACCAACAAAAGTATAAGTCATCCCCAAGAGATCACTTTCAGTACACCCACTTTCAACAAATCGCGGTATGTCAGTGGAAGCTTCGAAGATTCCGAGGTATTTGTTCGAGATGGGGAGGATGATAAACCAGGAATTCCTCAAATCCTCCTCATCATCACATGGAACCCCAATTCCTTGAAAAAGGATGTTCTTTTCTTCTTCCACTGGAGGATGACCCATATGACTCAGTTTTTTTCTGGAGTTCTGATTGAGGTTGAGGAATTGGCAGGGGGAATATAATATATACCTTCTTCCTTTTTTTTTTGTTTTTTGTCCCCAGTGTAAATGTGTGGAAAGGGAATGAAAATTGGTCAAATACCAAATTTGGTCCCTCGACTTTCAGGTTTGGACCAAGTTCGTCACAAAACTTTAAAAACTACCATGAGAATCTTTAAATTTTATTTTCCCGTTACCAACTTGGTCCTTTCATCAAAAGAAGTGCCCAATTGACACGTTAACTCGCCACGAAATTATATTTTTCTAATTTTAAAAATGGTGGAAAAAAGTACACCGACAATTGATAATTTGGTTATTTTTACTCAAAAATAATTTAAGACCCGCCATTATTGTACAGACCTCCATGTATAGAGTCAGAGACATGCAAAAGCAAAAAACATCACAGAGCTCCAACCTACTTCATCCTGTGCTGGGATTCTGCTGTATTGGACCTCATAGAATGACAAATTATTTTTCTTCATGAGATATTTATTTATTTATTTATTTTGCCTTACGGTTCACTTCATGCATGTAATAGGAGAACCTGAAACCAATATGAAGTTATGACAAATTCACATGAAATTGATATGCAACACGATTGTAAATTAATGTTTCATTACAAAAAGCTTTTTCTTTGGCTAACCTTTACACAGAATCTTGTAGCAGGTGTGATCAACTTGTTTATGCATTAATCAACATGAAACAAAAAACAGGCTAACACAGGTGGGTACCCAGGCGGGTGGTAACCACTTCACAGATACTTTTGGTCGGATTTTGCTGCTTTAAGCTTAGCAAACAGTCTTTCCAGCTTGCCAACTGGAGCTTCAAGGTCTGAACTTTGCATCAGATTATAGCTATTTCCATCTCTTTCCTTTTCATTGAAACCAATAGTTCTATGATCCGGACTGCAGTTGTTGTTCACCACTGGAAGTCCATGCTTCCTCAAGTTTCTTCTTTGTTTCCTTCAATTCATCTGTTTCCAACTTTATGAAAACTGGGGACCCTAAAACAGAGTAGCCTCCCAAGATCATCACATCTTCTAGAGTCATGGTGGCCTCACCCCAAGGAAAGATGAACCTTTTAGTTTCATTAAACCATCTCTCTGCAACCCCAAATACTAAATCATCAGTTCTTGGTATGATGTACGTAGAATTCATAATGGGTTCATAAATACCAGCTTTCCTCCAAATCGACTCATGCAAAGAAGCCATATTTTTCACCCAAGTTGTCCAATTTATTGGTGGGTATGTCCAGCCACTGAACTTGACATTCATAGCCCAACTTTTGGGGTCAAAAGTGGCCGGTAAAGAGGATAGACAGAGGGAGTGGAGGTTGGAGAAAGGTCCAGTAATGGAGTCTGTGCAAGGTTTAATGAAATGGGCTTTTCTAAAAGTGGGATCTCCACCAGTTGGGGACACCATGGCTTCCTCTCTGACCTCAACAATGCCCTTTGATGATGATCCCGCCATTGTTAATAGCAAGGGTTTCTACTTTCTGGACATTTCAAGGGAAGGGGTAAGAAGAAGAAAGAGAAAAAGAAAATTTTTTTTGGGGGTTGGAAAGGACACTCCTCCACATTTGTAACAGACGCTTTTCATTTGAGTGTACAAACTACAAATTGGAAAGCCCATCCATCCGGGACATGCATATGATGCTTTAAACAATTTTTATAATAATTGCTCTACCTGGAGGTGTGCCATTATCTAGAAGCTGTTCATTCATTGCCCTCTGATTTTTTTTATTCTTTTTTTTTTTAAATGTGATTAAAATTAAGATACAACGCAAGGCTACAACCAATCCAGGAATTGAACAAAAAGAATTCACAGTAGCCACCACCAAGTGAAATTAATCCTGATAATATGATGGCAATAATGTGTCCCATGGCCATGATTTTATTGTCTGGGCCATTTATGAAGGTGAGATTCGTGTGGGCTTGATGCATATTACTTGTAATATATCAACTACAATTTTGGGCCATAACATAAAAAAAACCATTTATGAAGGTGAGATTCGTGTGGGCTTGATGCATATTACTTGTAATATATCAACTAAAAAAAACAAAAATCAAATTTTAAGATAGGAAAGAAGGGATAGACTTAATTGGGTGGAAAAAGACACTATTCTGTTGAGGAAGAATAAGAATAAAGGACGTACTCTCTTCATTTTTTTATAAAAGAAAAACTTGATTAAAAAAAAAAAAGAGAAAATGGATCATCTGTCCTTTCAGTTACCTTCATGCATGCTTAAAGCCACTCCCTCGTTTCCAGCAAATTTACTGGATGTGCATTAGTACTACTTTAGTGCTGGTAGTGGAAGAGTTGGTTTAAATACACAGTACCTACTCTTTAATTAAAAAAGTTGACATCTTTTCTACTCATTCATGCTCCATTTTCCTGCTCATCTTCTCTCTTTCACTGTTCAATTCAAATGGCAGAGCTTTCATGTTCCATTTATGAATTTGCAAGAAATGAGAAAATGGTAGCTCCCAAAGATGGGAAACCCTATGTTAGGAATGCTGTCTTCCTGAAGCCATGTGTAAAAAGTTTGTCACAAGCAGTAGCAGTTCCTAACACCCCTTTACTGTTTGATATAATGTCTGAAAGCCTCCGAGAATGGCCTAAAAGGCTTGATGTCAAAGGCTTGTATCTGCCCCAGAAAAGATGGGAGGAATGGATTGATAGGATGGCTGGAAAATATGCAAGGGTTTGGTACCAAACTGGAATTTGTGATGCTATCTTGTCTTCCAGATATGAAATTCGAGGTAACAAGGATTTGATTCTGGGGTTGTTGGAATTTTGGTGTCCAGAGACAAATACTTTTGTTTTTCCATGGGGGGAAGCTACTATCACTCTTGAAGATGTTATGATTCTAGGAGGGCTTTCACCTGTTGGACACCCTGTAACAAGTCCTCTGAAGGCGAAGATGTTGAAGGCAGAGGAAGCACTGAGCCAGAAAAGGAGAATGATGGGTAGGAGCAGGTCCAAAAAGGCTACACATGGTTGCTGGATCAAACATTTCATGGAAGAAGATGCGCAGCATGAACATGAAGCATTCTTGTCACTCTGGTTGTCAAGGTATGTTCTGCCTTCTCTCCCTGAGGAAGTGATTAAGAAGCATGTTTTTCGTGTTGCTATTCATTTATCTTCTGGGAAAAGGATAGCTCTTGCTCCTGCTGTTCTTGCAAGCCTTTACAGAAACCTAACACTGTTGAAGGAACAAGCAATGTCCTCTTCCCTTGACAGAATCACTGCTTCGGGGCCATTGCAGCTACTGCATTTGTGGGCATTTGAAAGGTTTCCTTCTCTTGGACCTAGTATGCTTAATACACTCAAACCCGGAGAGCCTAGAGCTGCTCGATTTCATAGACTAAATGCAAAAATCAATCTGCCTCTTGTTAGATCAGTGCTTAGATTGGCAGATAACTTTGTGTGGCGACCTTATGTTGTTGATTTGAAGAATTGGAATCATCCCTCCTACTACAAAGATAACACGGAGATAGTATCTAGCAGTAACAACATAGAGCTACAGCCTTTTGCTCGGTGCTTGCAGGCTTCTATGTTAGTAGGAATTACTTGTGAAGAAATGTATTTGCCACACAGAGTGGCAATGCAGTTTGGATATGATCAAGATCTTCCAAGTGACCCTTTTGATTATAATATCTCGCACAAGAATGTTAAATTCATTCTTCGGTCTCGTTCATTTGAAGCAGGTGTATCAGCTAGGTATGTTAACTGGTGGAATAAATGTAAATTGGCTCGAAAAGAGGCAGTGGAGGATGTCAAAAGAAATTGGAAGAAAAGTTCAGAATCAGTTATAGTCAAAAGGGTTTCAGATAAATATCCTGTCAGTTTTGGGGTCTCAAGATTGCAACCAAAAGTGAAAATTCAAGAATGTTATTCCTCTTTTACAGATAGACATCCTCCTGCTTACTTTAAAACACAGATGAATGAGATGATGCTTGAATGTGAGTCAAATCATATTGGCAGCAATGAAGAGAGTCATGCCTCAGTTATTCATGAATCCGAAGATTCTAGTGAGACAGATCACATGCCATTATCACTTCGCCTGAAGCAAATTGCAGCTGTTGAAAGGAGAAGAATTAAACCCCAGAAACGTTTTTCTTCCTTAAGTATTGATGGCAGTGGGAACAAGAAAAAGTTCAGAACAGGCCTGGCGAGAGGTAAAGCAACTGTTCATACTTTTGCTGACAACGCTAAGGAAAGGCAAAGGAAGGCTGGTGATTTTGCCACAAAACTCAAAAGGACTGTTGAAGAAGGGGGGAAAGCTTGTGATCATGCTAGGAACCATTTTGATATTTATGAGCATCAACCAAGAGTTGATAAGAGGAAAACTGTTGAGAGAAAAGGTGAGGAAACAATGGTTGAAGGATGTTTCAAGAGCACTGCTAGTTCAATTCAGAACTTTGGAACAGAACTAGAAGGTAGGCTAATGAGGCTGGAGAAAATGATGGGGATGCAACCAAAATGAAGAAATCCTGGTGGTTTATCCCCTTCTTTTTTTTTTTTTTGTTGGTTGATGTTGTTTGGTTATCTCTTCCTCTCTGTGGCACACTGCAGCTAATCAAGTGAACCAAGGGCATTGCTGGTTTGTGTTAAAATGCTTACTTTTAATTAATTATATGTATTTTTTGGGTAACTTAATTAACTTTTGTCCTATCTCATGGTTAATTCCAAAACCATTTTCATTTAACTAGAGCAGGTAAAGCTTTTTCCTTCTTCTTTTTTTCACCTGATTTTTTAGGTCAAATGGCTAAAAATCATGTTAAATTGTGCAACACCAGCCTTTATACGTTGAGTTGGAATCCTTCTTCCTCAAAAAAAAAAAGGTTGTAATTTGTTAAAATAACTTTTTTTTTAATGAATAACATGTAAAGTGTATTTGTTATTATAACAATAATAACACAATATTAAATAAATAAAATAATATTTAATAATAAATAAATTTTTAATAAAAGTAATTATTTATAAATTTTATGTAATATTATAATTATATATTTTTTTATATTTTTTGTATTAGATAACAGGGGAAGGATGTAAGTCGCTTTTTAGTTATAAATCTAAAAAGAAAAGAAGAGTTGATATTAAGATGCCATCTGGTCTGTAACCGTACCGTGGTGGAAGCCTGATTCCCAGGACCCCATTTGGCTGAGAAAATAGTAACAAAAACACCTGTGAACCCTCACGTTTTCCTTCACTTTCCTTTTAACTTTTCCCGAGAACCAAACAAACGTTGAAGCTAGCTGCAGTTGGAGACTAGCATAGAAATTTAGAAATGGCCCAAGAATAGTTTTTTTGTTTTGAAAAAACCCATCTTCTACAAAATCTGCAGGTAAGGCAAAAAACCCATCTTCTGTTTCTTACACAAGTGGTGGGGTTCGTTGATTGAAATTCAATCCCAAGAATGGATGATCATCCGGACACCATTGTCGAACACAGAGAAGAACTCATGGTTTCACCAACCGGGGGATGTCCAACGCTGAGAACGGCATACTTTCTCAATCCTTCTGCCTCCATTGATGGACACGTTCTTGAGCTTCCTTCTTCTCTGTCTAAATCAACAAAACCCTCTACTTCTGCAGTGCAGCGGCATATGAAGGTTCAGTTAAAAGGATGGAGACGCCCATCCCAGCAATGGAATCAATGGGTTCAGAGCTTGCGACCTATGTACCAATCTTTATGGAAGCAGGCTGGGATTTATGAAGCAATCATGGGTTCTACGTATGAAATCAAACAACACAGAGAACTTATTCTTGGGGTTGCGGAAAGATGGTCTCCGGAAACAAACACATTCATCCTTCCTTGGGGTGAAGCCACGATTACTCTTGAAGATGTGATGATCTGTGGTGGCTACTCTGTTTTGGGTTCCTCTTTTTCGAGCCCTCGGAAGGGTAAAAATCTGGTTGCAATCGAAGAAAAACTGATAGAAGCACGCAAAGAGGCTGTAACAATGGGTGCTAAAGTTGCCTCCCATAAATCGTGGATGGGCTATTTCATGGGAACCAGGCATGAATTAGAGCATGAAGCCTTCCTCTCCCTTTGGTTATCCAGGTTTGTGCTTGTGTCGTCTAGTTATTATGAATATATAGTACAGCATGCTTTCCCCATTGCAATCCGTTTAGCCAGAGGTACTCGATTTGCACTTGCACCAGTAGTGCTGTCTAGTATATATAGAGACTTGGGTTTTTTGAAAAATGGGTTCTTTGGGTCAAATGCGATGAACTATGATGGATTGCCTGCTGTTTATGCTCCATTTCAGTTGCTGCAGCTTTGGATTTGGGAGAGACTTCCGGAATTGAGGCCAATTCCCAATCCCATCTCCATTGATGAGCCAAGACTAGCACGGTGGCATGGACTGAGAATTGAGAATGTTGGTGATGTGGGTCTGGCCCTAGACTTAGCTGGAGAAAGTTTTCAGTGGAGGCCTTATGGTATAGCAGTTAAGAACTGGGATTTTCCTAAGTTTTATGTTGATGAAGAACAATGGATATCAGTTGAATGTCAATTGCATGAACAATTTATTTCATTTGCTAGATTTTTGAGGGTAGGTGAGCTTGTTGGAATGGGATGCATAGAGCAGTACCTTCCACATAGAGTTGCCATGCAATTTGGATTTGATCAAGACCTTCCTGGAATCTTTGCCAGGTGCAATGCGAATCCCAGAATTGCTTGGAGGAATTACAACAGGCCTATCAATGATGCTAAGCTATATATACCACCAAGGCTTCATGAGTCTGATGTTAGTACTATGTACTTAGATTGGTGGAAGAGATCAAATTCAGTCCAGTATGGTGCTATAAAGTCATATGTGAGGAGGCGAAGGAGTTCAGTAAGATTCCAAGACAATTCAGTGGTAAACAAGGAAGACGACAGTCTCTCCATCCCTCCTGGTTTTACTTTGAAACATAAATTCTTGGCAAATGCCATCAAGGGAAACAAAATTTGTAGAACTACTGATGTTGGTGTCCAATCTTCAAATTCTTATGCTGAAGCTGGTAAAAAGATGGTGCCAGTGATAAAACAGGAGACTGAAGAACTCTCCATCCCTCCTGGTTTTGGACATAAAATCTTGGCAAATGCTGGCAATGGGAACAACATTTGTAGAACTATGAGTGTTGCTATCCAAACCTCAAATTTGTATGATGAAGCTGTTAGAAAGATGGTGCCAGTGATAAAGCAGGAGGCTGAAGAGCTCTCCATCCCTCCTGGTTTTTCTTTGAAGCATAAATTCTTGGAAAATGGTAGTAAAGAAAACAACACTGATGCTACTGTTGATGTGACCGTCCAAACTTCAAACTCATATGATGCAGCTGTTAAAGAGATGGAGCCATTATGTAAACTGGAGACAGAAGAAATGGAGGTGGAATCAGGTTTCAAAAATGGAGGAGAAAGCAGTAGCTATGCCCTATTAAGTAGTTGCAAGAATAGAGCTCGAAGCTTGCATTTTCAGGTTAGAAAAAGTAGCTGCTGATCTTAAGCCAGAGAGATTTGGTAATAATTCAAAAAGGCTTACCAGATAGCATTCTTCTTCATGGAACCTTAGGGAGACAATGCAGTTCCTTGGAAGGCTTGTAATCATCCATAGAATGGTACAAACAGGTATATCATGTAAATAATTTTAATAGAACCAACAAATAGCTTATGACCTGTTATTTTCTGATATGTACTTCTATGGTTAATTGAATGACTTGTTCTAATTTCATGCTCGTTAATTGTAATTAAACATGTTTGCATCATCATCAAGAAATCCATTTCCATTGATCCGGAATTGGTGCTGCATAATTGTAACTCAGTTTTCCACTTTTCCTCTAACCCAAACACTGCCATTTCAGTAACCAAATTCCGTTTGACCATTCAATAATGCCAAAAGCTAGAGAGCTTTTACACCAGTTTATAATTTTTACTATATATATATATATATATATATATTTGAAAAGGGGTATTATGTTGTGGATTTTTGGGGAAAAGGGAATGGTAAGGACTCGAATACAAGTCAAAAAACTTCTATGTCGGGAACTACACTTGGTTTACTTTAGGGTTTTTATAATTTTCAGTATAGTTAATATTTAGAAAAATAAACAATTAGATTTACTAGTATATTTGTGGATATTATGCTCTCACATTAATTGAATATTTGATAATTTCATTGATATTACAGAATTATATACTGTTACTTCCATTATATCATTACATGAACCAATAATTTATTTTTCAAAATATTAAATGAACTAAAAATTCTATTTTATGGGTTTGAGTTTTAACATATGTCTAATGTATAAATATTTTATTAATGGTTGTTTAAAATAGAAAGAGGTGGCTTAAGCTGCAAATTTCAAAACCCAATTCCTGAATTCCATGTTAAAGCCAAAAAGTTGAGAAAATGGTAGAAAAGGACGAATTTTAGGATTTCTTCTGTGGTGGAAATGTTGTGCTAACCAAACGTGCCCTTAACATGCCGCCCGTTCTGTAATCGTACCATGACAGAAACCCTGCTCCCAAAAACTGTATTACGCTAAAACGTCCGACTAACATTTTCCTTCACTTTCTTGTAGCTTTTCTCAAGAACCAAACACGCGGTAAAGCTAGAAAGGGATTAAGAATAGCATTTTGGCGGACAAATGATAGTTTATTTTCCTTCCTTCAGAGAGTCGGATCAAGTCCAGGAAGCAAAAACCCATGTTTTGTGACTTTTGAGAGAAAAAAGATGAAAATTTCACTCCATTTTAGCTGACTTTACTATTCCGCTGGTGGGTTTCTGAGATTAAAAAAACTTCAAAACCCAACAATGGATGATCATTCAGATACCATTCTCGAACACAGAGAAGAACTCATGGTTTCACCAACCGGTTGACAGCCAACGCGAAGAACAGCTCACTTTGTCCGCCCTTCGACCTCCATTAATGGACCTGTTCTTGAGCTTCCTTCTCGTCCGTCTAACTCAACAAAACCCTCTACTTCTGCAATGGGGTGGCATGGGAAGGTTTACTTCAGAGGATGGAGACGTCCATCAGAGAAATGGAACAAATGGGTTCAGACCTTGCGACCCATTTACCAATCTTTATGGAAGCAGGCTGGAACTTATGAAGCAATCATGGGTTCTACATATGTAATCAAACAACAGAGAGAACTTATTCTTGGGGTTGCAGAAAGGTGGTCTCCGGAAACAAATACATTCATCTTTCCTTGGGGTGAAGCCACAATAACCCTTGAAGATGTGATGGTCTGTGGAGGCTACTCTGTTTTAGGTTCCTCTGTTTCAAGCCCTCTGAGAAGTGAAAATCTGGTTGCAATTGAAGAAAAACTTATAGAAGCATGCAAGGAAGCTGCAACTATTGGTGTCACAGTTGCCTCACATAGTGCTTGGATGGACTATTTCATGGGAACCACCCATGAACTCCAGCATGAAGCCTTCCTTTCCCTATGGTTATCCAGGTTTGTGCTTTTGTCGTCTAATTATCACCAATTTATACTAAAGCATGCTTTCCCCATTGCAATCCGTTTAGCCGGGGGTACTCAATTTGCACTTGCGCCAGTGGTGCTCTCTAATATATATAGAGACTTGGGTTTATTGAAAAATAGGCTCTTTGGCTCAAATGAGAAACTGCTTGCTCTTTATGCTCCATTTCAGTTGTTGTAGCTTTGGATTTGGGAGAGATTTCCGGCATTAAGGCCAATTCCCAATCCCATCTCCATGGATGAGCCAAGACTAGCACGGTGGTATGGACTGAGAACTGAGAATGTTGGTGATGTTGGGCTGGCCCTAGACTTAGCTGGAGAAAGTTTTCAGTGGAGGCCTTATGGTGTAGCAATTAAGAACTGGGATTTCCCCAAGTTTTATGGTGATGAAGAACAATGGCTTTCAGTTGATTCTCAACTGGATGAACAGTCACTGGTATTTGCTAGATTTTTGAGGGTTAGTGAGCTTGTTGGGGTAGGATGCATTGAGCAGTACCTCCCACATAGAGTTGCAATGCAGTTTGGATTGGATCAAGACCTTCCTGGAAGCTTTGCCCGCTGCAATGGAAATCCCAGAATTGCTTGGAGGAGTTACAACAGGCCTATCAATGATGCTAAGCTATATATACCACCCAGGCTTTTCGAGTCAGATGTTAGTACTAGGTACTCAGATTGGTGGAATAGATCAAATGTAGTCCAGTATGATGCTGTCAAACCATTTGTAAAGAGGCAAAGGAGTTCCAGAACTTTCACAGACATCTCAGCGAGGAATAGAGAACATGATAGTGACAGCCTCTCAATCCCTCCTGGTTTTGCCTTGAAACACAAAATCCTGCAAAATGTCAGCAGGGAAAACAACATTGATAAAACTATTGTTCAAACTTCAAATGCAGATGATGAAGCTGTTAGAAAGGTGGAACCATTGATAAAACAGGAGAAAGAAGAAATAGAGAGGAAATTAGGTATCAAAGATGGAAAGAGCATTAGCTGTGGAGAAATTGAGCTTGAAGCTCGAATTTTGAGGCTGGAAAGGGAGCTTGCTGAGCTGAAGGCAGAGAGATTTGGCAACAGATTGAAGAAGTTTACTGAAGAGGGTTCTTGATCTGAACCTTTGGAACAAAATACAGTGTTATAGAAGGCTGGAAACTCTCAGTGGAATGATGCACAGAAGAATATGTATCATGTAAATCAACAAGCAGCATATGACCTGTAGCTTAACCATCTGCCTAGATGATGGATGATAACAACTTTTCTAAAGTGCCTTAATCTTATGCTGGGGTTTATATCAAGTTTTATAGAATTTGAAATTCTGTGGATTCACATGAGTGCATACCATCAATCATCCACCATATAAGAGAATTTATCCATGCATGATTAGGAGATTGAACTTCCTAAGTTAATAATGGTTTTTCACCAATAAATCAAAGGAATCAGATTTTAATTTTATACCATTTGAAACACTAACCCCTAAAATGAATTGGAAATATATATATATATATATATCAAATTCAACTAATGGTGTCTCTGGTTATGATATGACATAGAAGTTTGATCTCCTAGCGAAGGTTCAATTTTTGACGGGCCACAAGGATGTAAATACCATAATTTTCCTTTTCAAATAAATGTCCTGCTACTGGTCTAGTTGTAATCGTATAGAGAGACACAGCTGTCAACACTCCTTTTCGTACCATAATCAGTAAAATAGGCCTGCTCGTTGGAATTTTGGCTTATTGTATAAAGAAGCAGCTTCCTGTCAAAATTCTTTCTTTGTGCCCAAGAATATGGCAGAGGAGCCAGAACGTGTAGTCCAGGTCTCAGGTTTGCCCATTTCGTTTTCTTTCACCCCATTTTCCCAAGAAACAAACAAAAGGGCGAGCTTTTAATGTGTACTGTGGTGTTTAGTCCTTTGTGAGATTTCTTTGATATTACCTAACAATGGAGGAAACAAGAGAAACCATAGTTGAAGAGAGAGAAGAGGTCATGGTTTCACTTTATGGTGATGATAAATCATATCTAAGAACAGCCCATTTCCTTTCTCCATCTTTGGCATCCATCGATGAACCAGTCCCTAAGCTTCCTCCTCTCTTTTCCTCTTTTCTCCACCCCACTTTTGAGCCTGGAAATCGGCCTTTGAAGGTCTCCTTGAGTGGTTGGTCACACCCAAATAACAAGTGGATTTCTTGGGTAGAGAACCTGCGTCCCAAGTATCAGCATCTATGGAAAAAAGCTGGTATTTTTTATGCAATTATTAGCTCCACGTTCCCTTTCCGAAGACACAGTGATTTGATTATTGGTTTGGCAGAGAAATGGAGTCCAGAGACTAATTCATTCATCTTTCCTTGGGCTGAAACAACAATCTCTTTGGAGGATGTGATGATTTTGGGAGCCTACTCTGTTTTAGGCTCCCCTGTTTTTTGCTCTGTTGAGACACAAGAACTCAAGGAGATTGAAGATGAACTTAATAGGGAGCGTAAGAGGATCCAGAAGGGGATATCTCGTAATGAAAATATTTGGAAATGGGAGAAGAGATTTATGGGAAGTGGGAGCAATATTGAGCATGAAGCATTTCTCTCATTTTGGTTGTCAAGGTTTGTTTTCAGATATCCAATCATTAGAAAACATGTACTTCCGATTGCAGTTCATTTAGCTAGGGGAATGTGCATGGCATTAGCACCTGCTGTTCTAGCTAGCATCTATAATGATTTAAGTTTGCTAAAAGAAACAATTGTTTCAACTAAACTCGAGGCTTGTGAGGCTTTCATTTTGAGTTCGCCTCTTGTGTTAGTTCAACTCTGGGCATGGGAAAGGTTTCCAGAATTGCAGCCAAAGCCTAATGTTCTCAACTATGGTGACCCGAGATCAGCTCGATGGAAAGAAGTGAATGGTGTAAGAGTTGAGAATGTTAGGATGGTTTTGGATGCTGCAGGAGAGAGTTTTCAATGGCGTCCTTATGCTAAAGTTCTTAATCACTGGCAGTTTCCTAAGTTCTACAAAGAAAAAGAAGAACTAGTATCAGTTGATCTGAGATTGGATGATGAATTATTCTCCTTTGCTCTATGTCTGAGGCCATCTGAATTGGTTGGAGTGGGATGTATACAACAGTACCTCCCTCATAGGGTAGCTATGCAATTTGGAATGGACCAAGATATTCCTTATCATGTTGCTCGATACAATGAGACCCCTGAGGGTGCTTGGGACTATTACCTAAGGCCAATCTATGATGAAAAGTTGTATGTTCCATCTCGTTTCTTTGAGTCTGATGTTACTGTCAGATACCTGAAGTGGTGGAGGAAGCAGACAATAGTCCGGAGGAAAAGAAGTTCAAGGAAGAAAAGGAAGAGAATCACATGGGCTTCAGATGGAAGAAAAGGAGATAATGATGCTAGTGTTCCAGTTGGTTTTCCTCCCAAATTTATCAGGGTGAAAACTGAGGGCTTTGTTGAGGAAGAAAACACCAGTCATGAAACTTCCAATGCTACACCACTTATGTGTGGTGTGGACAAGTCAAAAGGTCTTTCAATGTCAGATAGTGGAGATTCAGCAACTATGAATGGTATAGGCCAGAGAAAATGGAAAAAAACTCCAAGCATTTCAGAAGGAAGAAAGGAAGATAATGATGCAAGTGTTCCTCCTGGTTTTCTTCCCAAAATTATCAAGGTGAAAACCAAGGACTTTGATGAGGAAGAAAAACTTGAAATGAGGTCGTGTAAAAAGCATGACACTTCCAATGAAACTAATGAGAATGAAGTTGTGTATCAGGAGTATAACAAAGAGAAGACTGGCAGCTTTATTGAAGAAAGCAATTTCGCCTCACTTCACATGATGGTATCCAAACTTGAAACTAGGATTGCTAGGCTTGAAAGAAAAGTTGAGCAGATAAAAGCAGCAAGAAAAGGCCAGGAGGTTAAGGAGTCATAACAAAGATGACAACTCTGCACCTGGCCTATAGCAAAGCTACGTATTTGTTTGCTTTAACCACTCAATCCACTATATGTCACACATGCATTTGATTTTCATGACCATTAATGTATATAATGAATATAATGAATATAATGTTGATTTAACAAATTGTGTCATGGTCATATTATCCCAAAGTTGGTCTAATATGTTTGAATTAAGTAGTGGTTCTTTTTGGTTAAAAGGATAACTTGGTGGTTGGCATGTTGGTCAGTTTTTCTTTAATGGTTCTGCAAATTGCCTTTTTCTTGGTTTGGTGTTGGTTAACATTCCTAGTAGCGAAGCATTTTAATATGACTTTTGGAGCTCACCTGAGACCTGACATAATTAAAAGTGAATGGAATGGAAATATATAGGAGGGAAAACACAAAATAGAAAGTTAGAAACCTATTTTTGCCTTCAACCAATTTTTGAGAAATGAGAGCGTGGATAAGAAAAGAAGAAAACTAACTGTCAATTTCTAAATTTAGTTAATATGACTAAGTCATTTTGCCTATCTGAGATCTCAACAGGTGTGGAAAAGGATGAAGCAAAAGAAAAAATTTGAGGAACTCTTCATTTCTGTCCTGAGGGACCAGAAAGATTTTGGTTTCTCCCTGGACAAAGGTTTTTTTTGAAGATTTAACTGATCTATATGCTTGATTCTGAACTTGGAGTTTTTTGTTTGATGCCTCATTTCCTTGCTAAATCTGTTGAAGATTTGGTTCATGGATTTTGTTGATGGTTGTTAAATGGTGGCATTGGGGTAGTGGTGAAAGGAAGAGCAGGATGAACTGCTTTTCATTTTGCATGTCACATGAGAGACGAAGCAGAAAGTCATTAAACGAGAGCATAAAGCAGTACCATGACACCAAAACTTTGGCCTCCTTTTCCAACATTTCCTTCAAAACGGGTACATCTTTCAATGTTTTTGCCTTCTCTACCCCTGCAAAACCTAATTGGGACAAATAACAAACATGAATTGTTTTTATTATTCTATATTGTTTCTCTTATTATTTTCCTACTGTATACTTAATGAATTTAACTTTGAGCATGAAAGTCAATTACAACGTTTGATTTTTTTCCTTGTCATATGACAGATTATGGGAAAATAAGCTCAGATCTGTCTAAAGGTCCTTTGTCACTAAAACTTTTGTTAAAGATATATGAAAACACCTTTACAAATCACTACCACTAAATTGTGGATTATAATGGCTTTTACTATTAATAAGTTTCTCTTTAAGATAATTAAGTTTTCCTTTATGGCTTAAAACATTAGTTTCTTGGAGATAGTTTGAACAATTTCCCTTGCAGATAGCAGCAAAAGAAGGTACATAACAGGAGAAATATCAAAATTGGGAAAAGGCAACATTACTGCCAAGATTTTTACATACCGTGAGCTTTGCATTGCTACTCAGAATTTCAATCATGAAAATCAGCTTGGTGAAGGAGGTTTTGGGAGGGTGTATAAAGGGCATCTCGAAAACCTTGATCAAGTACCATTGAAATATGATTTTTTTTTCTCCTTTTGCTCATACACTTTAACTAGGGTTACTATTCCATCTTACCCTTTCTTGACTTAAATACACAGGATGTAGCAGTTAAGCAACTCGACAGGAATGGATTTCAAGGAAACAGAGAATTCCTTGTTGAGGTTTTGATGTTAAGTTTGCTTCACCACCCCCACCTCGTGAATTTGGTTGGATATTGTGCTGATGGAGATCAAAGAGTTTTGGTCTATGAATACATGGCTAATGGCTCCTTGGAGGATCACCTTCTTGGTATGTTTAGAACTGAATTATTAGCACCATTAATATTTTTAATGAACATACTAAGTAGGGATAAACTCTGCCTTTTTCAGATTTACCTCCAGAAAAGCAGCCTTTGGATTGGAACACTAGGATGAAAATTGCACTAGGTGCAGCTAAAGGCCTTGAATACCTACACGAAACAGCTGATCCCCCAGTGATATACCGTGACTTTAAAGCATCAAACGTATTATTGAGTGAGGATTTCAATCCAAAGCTCTCCGATTTTGGCCTTGCAAAGCTTGGTCCAACTGGGGGTAAGACTCATGTCTCCACCCGGGTGATGGGCACATATGGTTATTGCTCTCCTGAGTATGCATTGACAGGCCAATTGACATCAAAATCTGATGTCTATAGCTTTGGAGTTGTGTTTTTGGAGATGATCACAGGTAGAAGAGTCATAGACAATTCAAGACCGACTAATGAGCAGAATCTAGTCACTTGGGTATGTGTATAATTTTCCTTCTCCATCTAGACTATATTTTTGCATGAAGCTCCATTTAATCATACTCATCATCTTTGCAGGCATCACCACTATTTAAGGACAGGAAGAAGTTCATATTAATGGTGGACCCATTTCTTCAAGGGAAATTCCCCATGAAGGGTCTCCACCAAGCACTTGCAATAGCAGCAATGTGCCTCCAGGAGGAAGCAGAAACCCGACCCTTGATGAGTGATGTAGTAACCGCTCTGGAGTACTTAGCTGTAAGTAAGGATAATGAGGAAGAAGGGATTCCTGCAAATCCACCTTTCTCAGGTAGACATGGTAATGCAGCTACTGAAACAAGAAGACCAGCTGATGA